AGAAAACTAATTCCAGTGGTTTGTTTTTTAACTTAAACCTTTAGGAATAGGCCCTTTGATATTCCTCAGTCATTTATATGCTTTCCATCATCATCATCATCATCATCTGACCCTCCTGTTTCTCTATTTAGGCTATGCTGGTTTCCATTTATCAGTTTGATGCAGGGTGAAAATAATCATATAAGGTATATATAGATATACTTGACCATCCTGCTTGTACTTGAAAACAGCAAAATTAAATACATTTCATATGTTACATTATGTATTACACCTGGGTAATATTTGCTTTTACTAAATAATAATTTGGTAATTTTGTTCAATGTTAATATAATGCTACTTGTTGTCACCATATATGAGAACTCTTTAAATAAAATAGCTGAGAGAAACAGAAGATCAAGGGAGAATAAGTAAGGGACTAATTGTAAGTTAAAAATTATTCATCAATGACAATGTTTGTTGTACAATGTTCAGGAGATCAACTAAAACAAGCAGCCTTTTGGTTTCTGTCATTTTATAGAATAACTAGGAGGATGCTGTAGGTTTAGGTTATTAGACAAATATATACACAAATGGAAAGGGGAGTTTATTTATATAGCACATTCAGTACAAAGACAAATCAATTAATTAAACAGTGAATTAGCAGCAAAATAAACGCAGAATAAAAGCAATTAAAGATTAAAACACACGATGAAAGCAGATAGTAAAGCAAATAAAACAGTTGGACCACAATCTTAAACTAATAATACATCAGTTATCAGTTTAACCTCAACAGTTAAATGCAGTTCTAAACAAATAGATTTTTAACTTTGACTTAAAAGAACTCAGGCTTTCAGCAATTTTAAAGACTTCTGGCACTTTTTTTGTCTTTTGATTATTTGAAAAATAAAAATAAAAATAAATATGCATTTTTTGAACAATTTTGTCATATATTTTGAAAGCGGTGGTCATATAATTCTGAATAAAAAATGTATGTCCTAGGTCTGTATAGATAATGTAGTCCTTATTTCCATGAAGTGTGTGATTTAAAAATAAACAACACGACCCAGGCCTTTAACAAAAAAAGTGTATGACAGGACCCTCAAAGGTTCCCAATGCTAATTTTTCTTCCAAATCGCCTCTTTTGTTTATTTTAGTTCAGAGATACCTCAAAAATAAATGAAAATAGTGTTTATAGTCAACATAGAGCAGTTAGGCAGTAAACTTATGTCAAATTTTACAAACAGTCTCTTTGAATTATTATGTTAAGATGTACTGAAGTTTCATTGATTTTAATTAATGGATCCGTTCCTGCTAAGAGACTGAGCCCCAGCTACCACAGGAGGGATTAGACAACAAGAAAAGCTCCGGCATCTTCATTGTTATTGTTAATTTTTGTTTTCCTCATTGAATTAGAGTAAAAGCTAAAAGATGAAATAGCAGAATAGACATGATTAAAAGGTGCATTAAAGGTGTAAGTCAGGGGCATCAGCTGATCCAGTATTATACAGAGGCACAATAGAGCACCAAATAAAATGCGATAATTAATGCAAGCACGCGAGCAAATATTTTATAGCACTTATCTATTATTAGAAAGCATCTTAAATAAATTGTTCAATCAGATTGTTATTTTCTGCATCATTAAATATCTACATAATCCAAAATGAATTGAATTGGCCCACTTGTGAGCTTAACTGTATATCTCTAATCCACTACTGATGAATTCACAATTTATCTTCATTAAATACTTGAAAACTTGAGATGTGCAACTGTAAAAGGAAAAACAAAACAAAAAAACACCTCTACATACATACATGTCTGTGTTCATCATTTCTATTTGGGCCCATCCTATGATGGCGATGATCCTATAAGGTGTGTGTATCATGGCCAGAAAGATGGGAGAGCTGGATGTTTTTTGTTTTTTTTTAACAGTAAACTGTAGCGTCTCGGCCAGTGGCGGCTGGTGAGGTTTTCTCCAGGGGAGGCTATAAATTTAAAATAGATCTATACAAAAAACCAGTCAAACGTACACTAAGTTATCACACCAGTATATTTATATGAATGCCAACAACAAAAAACATTATAAAAACAAGACTTAATTTCATGAACAGCTTTAGATTTTGTACATAAATCTTGCCCTTCTGAGCCTTTGTGAAGGTAAATCTGTATTTTTCATGGTCCAATATGATGTCACAAACCTAAAAAAACAGTGTTCCAGTTTAAAAATGGAAACTTAGACAGATTTATTTTGTCATTTTGTATACATGAATGTAAACACAAAGAAATTTAATTTAAAACTGCTCTAGACAATACATTTTTTTAAAGTGCAGCCTTGAAAACAGTAATAAATACATAAAAAATAGTAATCTAAACAGATGACTGTTTTATAAATAAAATAACCAATTTTACAAAACATTCAGCATAATGGCAGTGAGGAAGAAACTGTTCTGAGCTGCTGATGACCAGTGGAGCGTGGTTAGGCCGGTTCTTCCTGAAGTCCAAGATGATCTCCTTCATCTTCTCCACATTCAGGATCAGGCTGTTATCTCTGCACCAGTCCACCAGCGGCTCCATCTCTTCTCTGTAGTCCAGGTCATTTCCATCTCTGATGAGGCCCACCACTGTGGTGTCGTCTGCAAACGTCATGATGTGATTGGTGGTGAACCTGGGGACACAGTCGTGTGTGATCAGGGTGAACAGCAGGGGGCTCAGGATGCAGCCCTGATCTATTGGTCAGCTTTATATTATTTTTAACATATAAAAACTATTTATTTTCTGACAGTGTGTTTATTTATGAGCAACTATGCAGATTAACAAACATCTAGAAAAAGTAAAATATATTATTTTATTTTCCATGTGAATCCCAGATTGTTTATTCTTCTTTGCCTTTTCTACAAAGTGCTTTAAATCAGTCCTACCTGTCTGTATCCATGCTGGGTCAGATCCTGATGCTTGAAAAAGGAGGCAGAATAAAGCTACATGCTGCTAACCAAGCCTTATTGCTGAAGCGAGGGTTGGAGCGAGGTGGTGCACAGTGCGTGTTTCTAAGTCGCTTGTGGAGAAATGCCCTGGGCAGAAATGTCCTTGTGGGATGGAAGATGGAAATAGTGAAAACGAAGAAGACTGGAAGAGAGTATAGTCAAAAAATGAGAAAAAGCGGAAAAAGTAGTGATCAATTGAAGGGGAGTCCAGTTCAGAACAGTCAAGTGATGAACAATCTAAAAATTCCACAGGAAAACAAAATGAGTACAAAGTCATATTCAAACTAGTTAATCAGGCAGACTCTTTTACAGATTGGAATCTGGTTCAGTTAACAAAATCGATCAATAAACTAGTGGAAGACTGAAGTTCCAGAAAACTATAAAGTGGAGACCTGTTTATCAACTGCAGAGACAACAAGGCAAAGCCATTCGGATTAACAAGATTGAGAGGAAAAGAGTTCAGTGCAGCTTGATGGAGAACAAAAGGATTCGCAGGGGAGTCATTGGAGGAAGTTCTCTAAAAGTATCTGAAAAAGAGATTCTAGAAAATATAAGTGGTGCAAAAGTAAAAGAAGTGAAACGGTTAAAAACAACAAGAAATGGAGAAAGGTGTGACAGAGCAATTACTCAGTAAAGTTTTCATTGGATACATGAGCTACAATGTAAAAATATACAATCCTTCGCCACTGAGATGCTTCAAATGCCAAAACTTCTGACATATAGCAGCAGTATGCAAAAGAAAACAACAATGTGGTGCAAAATATATGGAAAATGTAGGAAAGAAGTTTAAATAAAATGCTGTAAATGTGGTGGAGAAGATACTGCTGCATATCACGGATGGGAAGTGAGTAAAAGGTCTGAAGAAATTAGAGAAGTGAAATTTGAGCTCAGAATAACACATGCTGAAGCTGTAAAAATGATCCCATCCCAGTCAGAAAGACCCAAACCTACAGTTCAGCAAATGGAAAGTTCAAAACCTCTGGAGCAATGTCCCAAAATTGAAGATTCATTGATTGTAAAAAAGAAAGATTTTGTTCTTTTCATGGTCATCAACACCGCCCAAAGACTGACTGGCTGCCCTCTCCCCTCCTTGGAGGAGATTTACTCCACCCGCTGCTTCAGGAGAGCCTGCAGCATCATCAGGGACTCCTCACACCCCGGTCACCATCTTTTTGAACTGCTCCCATCTGGGAGACGTTTCAGGGCAATAAGGACAAAAACAACCAGACTGAAAAACAGCTTCTTTCCTAGAGCTGTTGTTGCCCTGAACGCCTCATGTACACTGTAACAACTGTAACTATCAATAATGACAGTAACATTAAATGCAATATGCTACCTCACGTGCAACAACCTGTACCCGCTGCCACAGAAGAACCCACAGTATCCCCCTTTTTTTTTTTTTTTTTTTTTACTTTTTCGTATTTATTTTCTTTTAAATTTGCACTAATTGCTTGTACTGTGTTTCTTTTTGAGAAATTTCGTTGCACCCCTTTGGAGCAATGACAAATAAAGAATTCTAATTCTGATTCTGAGAAGTGATTAATTGCAGTGCACAGATGACAAGGAAAACCGAAAAAAAATCAAAATAATAGTGAAAGCTGCAGAAAAGTATCTTGAAGTTAAAGATTTAAACTGGAAAATGGTTGAAAGCATGATGGGAAAACCAATAGGACCATCAGAAACTGGCAGAGTGACAATGACTTAAAGACAAGTTAGAAATTATGAGGGCAAATATGATTAAGTATTTATTATGTTGGGTGAAGTTAAATTGTTTGGAAACATATTATTTATATATTTATTTTTATTTTATTTATTTATTTTTTCTGAGGGTGGGTCTGCTTTCCTGTTTCCTTGCTTAACTCCTTATCAGTTGGTGGCAGTAATGCACTGAAACTAGTTTGGCAACCGCAATAAAGCCTCACAACAAGAAGGAGAGCGAAGGTGGTGAGCAAATGCACTTCCTGTCAGCTCGGGGCACAGCAGAGCTGCGCCGGAGCTGTGAGAGATGAGCTGTGAAAGTGGAAAATGAATTAATAAAAAAATCCGCAGATCCACAACGGGGCATGTGCCCCTGTGAAAAGGGTCTGCTGATGGCCAGGAGCCGGGCGGTGCTGGCCCGGTTCCCCCTTGCCATTGCTAGGCCGCTGTTTGTCTGTCTCTTTGCGGGCTGTGTGGGAGCTAAAGCTAACGTTAGCTGAGCCGCTACATTAGTCCGCTGCTATGAGCTTAATCTACCTGCCATCCAGCAGGTCAGTAGGTTGCTATGGGCTGTGGCGGTTAGTGCCGCTGGGAGACTTCCGGTTAGAACCGGTCTGCCTCTGTCAGTTAGCCACTTCCTAACGTCTGAATCCCAGCAGCTGAGAGGTTTCTGCGGTGGTTTGGCCTTCTTTTAAGAATTTTTAAGGTAATTTAAAGTTGTTTCTCTCTCAACTTCAGTCTTGAATTGTTCAATGAATGTTTCTTTCAAGCAATGGCGTAAATATCGATAAGCAGAGTATGGGGGCCCGACCTCTTAGGGGCCCCGTCACTGACACCTGGAGGGCCCCCTATGCAATTGTAGACTAGGACGTCTATTTGCAGATGTAATGGTGTGAAAAATTCCTCTTAAACACACCTGATATTAACTTAACTGACAAGACCGTATTTAAACCCTAATAAATGCCAGATTTCCACATGATGGTGAGCCGTTTAAACACGACACCAATAGCAAAGCAGACAGTGGTACTTTTAATTACTATGTTAATAACTGTGTATAGTTCATTAGACGGTTGGTAAAAATTACACTCATATGATATGTTTCAAACCGCAATAAAGATCTTAGAAGAACAATGCATTTAAGTATTTCATTTTTTATACTACAACTTGGAGTTATGGATAATCCTGATTGTAGATTAAAACCATAACCTTTACATACAATGTGTTAACGACGATGGATACCAAAATGAGGTACTTAAGCCAATTCCAGAAAAGAAAAAGCAAAGAAGAGCTGTTGGAAGAACAGAAAAAAACTTCCCAAAATAAACATGTTCTTTCAAAAAACCGTTGATGGGGTGTTGTACTTCAGATGGGGCCCACCAAGAAAATGTGGCTTATTGTTGTGTCGTTACGCCATTGCTTTTAAGCCACTTAAGTCTGACCTATGAACCGGTCAGCCGATAATGGGCTGTGAGACCGGAGGGATGAACGGTGTCTCCACAGGCGGCTCCAGAAATGCTGCTTTCCATCCCAGAGGCCCAGCCTGCTGGCTGGGTTCAGCCTTTATGGCCGAACAGCATCATGATGGAGGGATTTAATTCCAGCCACTTCCAGACTGGGATTTGTTGGGACCTGCTGGTTTCCTTCATTTCGCCTCTCATCCAAGAGGCTCGGTCGGTTATAGCTGGTGGTGGGGAGCGCTGAGATTAAATTATCTCACTAGTTAACCACCTCTTGGATAAGAGGGGAAACATCTTCTACAGCAGTTTGACTGAAAATGAGCAAAAGAGCAGCAAATGTCCAAAGAAAAAGTTGTGAAAATGTAGAGTGTAATTCCTTTCTGCCCCCAGTTGGGGGTGTCTTCCCAGGTGAAGTGTTCCCGAAGCTGTGCTCGTCGGACCTGAGGTGCCAGGAGGCCAGAACCGCCCACCGCGTCCCAACATGTCCAAGGCCAAGAGCTCTGATTCCGTCAAGGTTGTGGTTCGCTGTCGCCCCATGAACGACAAGGAGAAGGCTTCCAAATTTGAACACGTGGTTTCAGTCGATGTGAAACTGGGCCAGATTATGGTCCGGAACCCCCGGGAGGCCGGAGCGCCCCCCAAAGTCTTCACCTTTGATTCGGTTTACGACAGCAGCTCCAAACAGATCGATCTGTACAATGAGACCTTCAGGCCGCTGGTCGAATCGGTTCTGCTCGGCTTCAACGGAACCATCTTCGCCTACGGCCAAACGGGGACGGGGAAGACCTACACAATGGAGGGAGAGAGAAACGACCCGGAGAGGAGAGGGGTGATCCCCAACTCCTTCGAGCACATCTTCACTCACATTTCCCGCTCCCAGAACCAGCAGTACCTGGTGAGAGCGTCGTATCTGGAGATCTACCAAGAGGAGATCCGAGACCTGCTCTCCAAAGACCAGTCCCACCGCCTGGAGCTGCGGGAGAGGCCCGACACGGGGGTGTACGTGAAGGGCCTGTTCTCACAAGTCACCAAGAGCGTGCAGGAGATGGAGGACGTGATGAAACTGGGTAACCAGAACTGGTCTGTGGGAGCCACCAACATGAACGAGCACAGCTCACGCTCTCAAGCCATCTTCATCATCACGGTGGAGTGCAGCGAGCTGGGCGTGGATGGAGGGAACCACATCAGGGTGGGGAGGCTGAACCTGGTGGACCTGGCAGGGAGCGAGCGGCAGACGAAGACGGGCGCTCAGGGCGAGAGGCTGCAGGAAGCCATCAAGATCAACCTGTCGCTTTCGGCCCTGGGAAACGTCATCTCTGCTCTGGTGGATGGCAGGTGCAGCCACATCCCCTACAGGGACTCCAAGCTCACCCGAATGCTGCAGGACTCCCTTGGCGGGAACGCCCGCACCGTCATGGTCGCCAACATCGGTCCCGCCTCCTACAACATGGAGGAGACCCTGACCACGCTGTGCTACGCCAACAGGGCCAAGAACATCAAGAACAAGCCACACATCAACAAGAACCCCAAGGATGCCCTGCTTGGGGAGTTACAGGAGCAGATCGCCAAACTGAAGACGCAGCTGGAAAAACGCATGGGCAAGAAGAAAAGGAGGAGACAGAGGAAGAGGGACGGGAGCGACGGAGACGAGCTGGAGGACGATGAGTCTGAGGGTGGAGACTACTGGAGAGAGCAGCAGGAGAAGCTGGAGCAGGAGAAGGCGGCCATCTTGGAGGACCACAGCCTGGTGGCCGAGGAGAAGGAGCGGCTACTGAGGGAGAAGGAGAAGAAGATGGAGGATCTGAGAAGGGAGAAAGAAGTGGGAGAGATGCTGGCAGCTAAAGTCAAGGTAAGCCAGAAATGAGAGTCCGCTCCGTCACCTGTTCCCCAGACGTTCTGCATCTGACCCGCTTACTCTTCTCTGATCTCCAATCACCTCCAGGCCATGGAGAGCAAGCTCCTCGTAGGTGGAAAGAACATCTTGGACCGCACCAACGAGCAGCAGAGGATGCTGGAGCTGAAGAGGCAGGAGATCGCAGAGCAGGTAAACAAGAAGCAGAAGAACTAAAGTCTGATCTGAAAATTACAAAATCCCGTTCTGCTGTCTGACCCCTGACCCCTTCAGCACTATACTAGGCCTGCAACTAATGATTATTTAGATTCATCTGTCGATTTTTTTTTCTTCCAATTAATCGATTAATAATCGGATAGCCAAAGGTTTCTTAAAGGGAAAGTAAACCAGCTGAAACTAAAACTATTCCAGGTGAGGAGTTCTGGATTATAGAGAATTCTGAGATATCTTAAATGAAAAATCTTTATTTATTTATTTATTTTTTTACAATCTTGGTATAATTTCTGCTCTAAGCAGGTCTCATGTTTTACAGTCTCTATGCTCCAGTTAACGATTAATTAGTTGATGATTATTAAAGTAGTCGATTAATCCAATTGTTTCAGTCCTACACTTTATAGTGAACTTTAGAGTGAACTCTGTTAACTGACCTTTCAACAAATGATCACTACTTTTTGCTCCCGGTTGGTCATGTGACTCCAACTCCCCGCATGATGCCTCTTTGCTACTTGCCGCCACTTTCACAACAAATCCAACAATGCTTTGCAAAGAGAGCTCTCCTAGCAAAGCATTCTGGGATATACCTGCTCATCTAGTGACCATGGAGGATCACTACTTTTCAAGGTGCATTGTGGGAAATTTCCAGTCCATTACTTCTCATCCATTAGACGTTCAGACGCTCATTTAAAATGGCGTAACCACTATATAGAGATTAGGCCGGGCATTTGGACTCAGCCTCAGTCATGACCCAGAGCAGAAGGTGGAAAATGCTCCTGATGCTAATTGGTTAGCAGTCCGACCAAAGGACTGGGATGGAGGGGACACACTTGGGTCCGTCCCTGTTAACCTAAAGCAGCCTAGTGCTTAAACAGGGTTACTTCAGGTAAAATTCATTAAATGTGATTATAGTGACATATAAAATGCTTTTAGAAAAAAAAAACTTTCCTCAGATATATTTGCATATATATGTATATATATATATATATATATATATATATATATATATATATATATATATATATAGAGTCATGGGTACTTGTTGGTGCATTAAAATCATTTCTAAGCAATAAAGTTATTAAATTAGAGTTAGTCATTCCTGTATAAACTCTGTGAAAGGAGGGATGGACTCTAAAGTTAAAATGGAAATCCGTTTTCCACTGGAGATCTCAGGAGCCGCTTCTGAAGGCAGCAGAACCTGCAGGAAGTTGGACTTTAAATCACAGCATTATTAGCATTATTATAACATTATTGCTTTCAGAAACTGAGGGAGAGGGAGATGCAGCAGCAGATGGAGAGTCGAGATGAGGAGACGCTGGAACGGAAGGAGACCTACAGCTCTCTGCAGCAGGAGGTGGACATCAAAACCAAGAAGCTGAAGAAGGTAGGAAATCAATGTTGCTCTGGGAATAAAAGGGTTTTATGATGAAAGTCCGTTTTCCCTCTAAGCATCTAGCCTGTTGGTTGCCTTCATCCTTCACTCGTCTTCATCACAGAAAGATTTAAAGTCCCGTTTTTGTGAAACTAACTTCGTTCTTCTGATATTTTTTGTTCCTCAGCTGTTTTCCAAGCTGCAGGCAGTGAAGGCAGAAATCCAGGACAACCAGGAAGGGCACATCAAGGAGCGGCAGGAGTATGAGCAGATCCAGAACGAGCTCACCAGAGATCTCAAACTCAGGTATGGAGCACATCGATGGCCGCCACTCTGCTCTACTTTCACCCATCAGGCCTTAAAATCTGCTCCTGATTTAAATGATTTTAAAGATTTCACTAATTCTGCAAAACATCGTCATTATTATTAGTTATTGAAGTCCAGATAAATAGCTACCATCCTTTTAACACGTGAAGCTGCTTAAACTGGAACCGTTGATCTTTCAGAAACCTGATCATTGAAAACTTCATCCCACTGGAGGAGAAGAACAAAACCCTCCACAGGGCTTTCTATGACGAGGAGGATGAGAGCTGGAAGATGAAGGCCGTCAGTCGCACCGACGAGTAAGTTTGGTGCAAAAGCGCAAGGGGGGGGGGTTCCAGAACCGCTCAGAGAGACTCCAGGCAGGAATCTTGGTCCTGTAAGGCAAACCATTCTGAGGAGTCAGGCTGTAAAGATGGAGGCAGAGCCTCCTCATGAAGCTGGAGGTGAAGCCGCCTCCCTCTGCCTGGTATCTGGCTGCCTCTGTGTTCTGCTCTGGTTCCTCTGCTTTCAGCTGCACCTGTTAGACTGGAAACTTAACCTGCTGCTGTTTGTCATCCTGCCACAGCGATCATCAGATGATGTCATTGCCGACGTCCGCCATTGGCTACAGGAGGCCTCTCAGTCAACATGCTCTCTTCTGGCAGAGGTTGAATTTTGACACAAGATACAGAGTGAGTCGCTTTTCTCTTGAACTGATAAATATGATTCTCTTCAGGTCAAGTTTAATGATTTCATCTGAAGTTCTGATGAATTAACTGATTATTCAGGTTCTCTGGTAAATTGAACCTGTCCTTTTGAGCCCATTAGCTTAAAGTTCAGCTACCCCCCCTTTTCCCTCTGACCCAAAAAACGGTTTAAACCGGAACAATCAGCTTTTAGTTGCAGTGGGAACAGCTCACTGACGCGTGTCTACCCGAGTCAAATGACTCGGCAAGCGACCTGCTTTAAAATCCCCTTCAGCTCTGATCAGCGTGCTGTGGGAAAGGTGGGTCTCCAGCTAAATTACGTGATACCACTGAACGCAGCGTGCAGACGTCAATACACTGCGCCAGTCGCTCTTGATCTAGCAAGCAGAAACAACTCTGGCCGTTTCTCAATCTGTGTACTTGTTGCGTTGGGGTGTCCTCGTGAAACGCCATCATCCTCAGCCCTTGCACTGTTCCAATTCACAAGAACAGCAGACAGTGAACAGACAAAGTCCCTAGATGTTGTTCTGACCCCTCCCTCTTTACCCAGCATGCATCAGAGCAGGCTTGTCCGTTCTCCATGCACTGCTGCAGCAGCAGCTTCCAGGTTAGCGCTCACAGAGCTCAGAGTATTAAGATAAAAGTTTTCTTTTCTGTTGCTGTTGTTCAATAAAAGTAAGTTTTAAGCGGCCAGGGCTAACGTTAGCCCGTCTGCAGCAGCCAGGGCCAAGGTTAGCCCGTCTGCAGCAGCCAGGGCCAACGTTTGCACGTCTGGAGCGGCCAGGGTCAACATTAGCCCGTCTGCAGCAGCCAGGGCCATGGTTAGCCCGTCTGTAGTGGCCAGGGCCAGGGTTAGCCCGTCTGCAGCAGCCAGGGCCATGGTTAGCCCGTCTGTAGTGGCCAGGGCTAACGTTAGCCCGTCTGCAGCAGCCAGGGCCAGCGTTAGCCCGTCTGCAGCAGCCAGGGCCAAGGTTAGCCTGTCTGCAGCAGCCAGGGCCAACTTTAGCCCATATGCAGCGGCCAGGGCCAACGTTTGCACGTCTGGAGCGGCCAGGGCCAACATTAGCCCGTCTGCAGCGGCCAGGGCCAACGTTTGCCCGTCTGCGGCGGCCAGGGCCAACGTTAGCCCGTTTGCAGCGGCCAGGGCCAATGTTAACACGTCTGCAGAGGCCAGGGCCAATGTTAGCACGTCTGCAGCGGCCAGGGCCAACGTTAGCCCGTTTGCAGCGGCCAGGGCCAATGTTAGCACGTTTGCAGCGGCCAGGGCCAATGTTAACACATCTGCAGAGGCCAGGGCCAACGTTAGCCCGTTTGCAGCGGCCAGGGCCAATGTTAGCACGTTTGCAGCGGCCAGGGCCAATGTTAGCACGTTTGCAGCGGCCAGGGCCAATGTTAACACGTCTGCAGAGGCCAGGGCCAACGTTAGCCCGTTTGCAGCGGCCAGGGCCAATGTTAGCACGTTTGCAGCGGCCAGGGCCAATGTTAGCACGTCTGCAGCGGCCAGGGCCAATGTTAGCACGTCTGCAGCGGCCAGGGCCAATGTTAGCACGTCTGCAGAGGCCAGGGGCAACATTGGCCCGTCTGTAGTGGCCAGGGGCAACAGGGCCAACATTAGCCCGTCTGCAGCAGCCCTCTCTCTGCATAGCCGTGGGTGAAGTACCGCTGGCTCTGATGGAGGTATGATTGTTTTATTTGGCAAAACATTTAATTTGTGTTTATCTGACTGTGTTCATTATTATTCCCCGACAAAATGAAAACCATCATATTTTATCATTATCTAGAGACTATTAATAACAGGAGGTGAAATGCAGCTCCAGACTAGCTTTGAATGTGATGATGTCATCAGTACGCTTCTTTTCCAACTGACCCAGATATATTCTGTGTGCTCCCGTTCTCCGAGTCCAGACTTTCCTGGGGTCTTCTCTAAAACATACTTGATCAGAACACGAGTCCGGACTCGCGATGGACTGGCGACCTGTCCAGGGTGTACCCCGCCTCTCGCCCATTACCAGCTAGAGATAGGCACCAGCACCCCTCACGACCCCACTTGGGATTAAGCGTGTAAAAAAATGGATGGATGGATGAATAGATGGATATTAACAACTTTTTCAAAGATTGGACCCTGATTAAAGTTCCTCAGTAATGAAAGTTTGGAAAAGAAACAGAACTCGGGGACTAAATTTATTTTCTGACTGACCCGTGTGCGTTTGGTTCCTCAGGCTGAAAACATCCTGAAGGTAAAACTGGACATTCCAGCACGGACACCTAAAGCCTACCAGGAGCCAGTTATTGCCCCACGGGTGGCAGCTGCCCTCGAGGACGCCCTGAGAGACGAGGATGAGGTTATAGTAGACGCGTCAGGCTTCCACAGCAGCCTGAGTTCGGACCCGCCTTCCAGCGCCGGCGGCAGCCTGAAGAAGCCGAAGTCTGGGTGAGGAAAACCTTCAGCTCACAGCAAGTTTCACATTTGGCTTTTGCTTTCTGACTGAAGGTTTTCATCTGCTTTCTGTCTTTCAGCCGGCCGAGAACAAGGAAGAGGCCCAGCACGCCGGCCTCTCCCATCAGCCCCCGCAGTCCAGAATCCGCCAGCCTCTACCCAAAGCCCCGCGGCCTGGTGCCCAAGTGACGCCTCCCTGCCTCCTTCCTTTTTTGTTTTATTCACAGGCACCCTCTCCTATTATAATATTCTAATTTTCTGATATGATGAATTTGAGATTTTCATTTGTTGTCATTTGTAATCATCAAAATTAAACAAAATAAACATCTGAATATATATGAGTTTGTATGTAATGTATGAATATAATATACAAGTTTCACTTTTTAAATGGAATTACTGAAATCAATCTACTTTTTCATGATATTCTAATTTTATGACCAGCACCTGTAGATGGCTTCCTTCACGCCCCTCTTCTAGCTTCCTGGGTGGGAAGTGAAACATCTTCAAACTTGGAAACAAAGTCCAGTGGAACTGCTTAACTTTTCTTTTTTTTTTTTTTTGGAATGACCGAGAATCTTCACCTCATTTGATACTGAAGTCGGTCAGATGTTTGGTTTTACCTTCAAGAACACACTCTGATTACATCACTACAAAGAGATCCCAGAGGGAGAGAGAGCATGTATTAAATGGATCTGTTCAGTTTAAATTTAAATAAATGCAATTTTTACCCTTTTAAAGATGGAAATGTATTCTGTGAGGGGAGATAAAGGATTGTAAACCCATTCTAATGTGTTACTGGTTTCTTCTTTTGGTAATGACAAAGTTTGAAAAGTCAATGATAAAGGCAAAATTCAAAGCCTGAAAATAATATGAAGGGAGACTCCCCCTACATTACATATTTAATATAGTAAACTTACTAATGCAACTCTTCTGCTTCAAGCTTCTTGGAGAATTTAGACATAGCTGTAACTACTGAGAAAACCTGTTGACAAGTTTAGACATTTTTCTTCACATTTGATCATGGTGTTTAATTTATCTCAATATAGCCTAAATCAATCTAAAGCTATTCAGAATCTTTGTTGCTTTTAGCAGCCCAGACTGTGGAGACAGTTATGAAATTACAATTCCCAGATTTAAAGAAGTAAAACCAGTTTTTTTCCAGTTCTAGTTTGGAACAAATTCTGTTGAATTCAGATCGTGTCCCATTGTGGATTTGAACTGAACACAAGTCTTCTTGTTAGGACGAGGAACTTTAGAATAAAGCTCTCATGTTGCTTCATTGTTTAGCTCCACTGTTGGTGGTAGTGTCTGAATCCAGGTACAGAAGGGAAAAAAGCCTGCCTTATTTTGCTTCATCTTGTCAGCTTAACCAGATGATTAGCTTCTCAGAATATTAGTCTGGGTTTTATGTTTGGAACTGATCTCTGTACAGGCTTTTTACTCTCTGAACCTGGATTATCCACCTCTGGCTGTGATTAAAGCTTCTTGTTTCTACAGTGCCTGGCAAGAGTATTCAAGCTCCTGGAACTTTTCAACCTTTTGCCACATTTCAGGCTTTAAACAAAGATATCAAATTATGATTTATTTTTTTATGAAGAATCAACAAGTAGGACACAATCCTGAAGTGGAACGAAATTTATTGGATATTTTAAACTTTTCTGACAAATAAAAAAAAACTGAAGAATGAAGCATGCAAAATGAATCGACCCCTTTACTTTCATTGCAGAAAACTCTCTGCAAGATCACTAAGGATCTCTGAATGATCCAGTGTTGACCTAAATGGTTGATGATGATAAATAGAATCCACCTGTGTGTAATCAAGTCTCCGTATAAATGCACCTGCTCTGTGATTGTCTCATAGGTCTGTTTAAAGCGCTGTGAGCATCATTAAAATCAAGGAACACATCAGGCAGGTTTGAAATAATGTTGTGGAGAAGTTTAAATCTGGATGATAATACAAAAAGGTTTGGATTGGGCTGGAAGCAAATGCTAAGATTGTTACTTCAACTTCTGTTTCAGATCTTACAGAAATATATAACTTGTCTCTTAGCTACATCATTACTTTAATCTTTTTGTCAGATTGGAGCCCCAAAGCAGTTTTCAGAAATTACAATTTTAGCAGTTTTTTCCTCAAAACAAAGTTAATGACCTGATAGAATAACCCGAGCTCCAAAAAATTAGTGCTATTTCTTTCACTTTCAAGAAATTAAGAGCAACAGAATGATTTTACATAGATTTACCTTGAAAGTGACTGATGAAGAGACAATGAAAAGGTAGCCAATAAAGGAGAAAATATATAAATACTTAGAAGATCATATATATCAGAAACTCCTTAAAAGATTGAAATTTGATCTGAAAAGTATTTTTAGCTTGTTCTTTAAAAGCAGTTGGAATATTGTGATATTTGCAATCTCCAACCTAACCACTAGATGTCAGTAACTGTTACAACATTCCTTTAGAGAATTAAGACAAGCCTGCTTGTGGAGTTACAGGTGAATGTTTTTCATTTTAGATGTGATTAATCTATCCCTGTTCCAGGGATATATACCTCAGGCTTTTAAGGTAGCTGTAAGGTAGATTCTCCCTTCAAACAGACAAATCTACTGACATAAGTGAGACTGTCCAAGTTGTGGCTAAAATTAGATATGTTGATGATCACTCTATCAAAGAGACATTTTCTCATGCAAATAAATGAAAAGCTTTACAACAGGGGAAGAAATATTTAAGTTAACTGATAACTAAAAGAGAACACTCTGAGTTTGAATATGTGCGTCAGTCTTTGCACAGATGGTGCTGCATGAATGACTGGCAGAATGAAAGGATTTGTTGCGCAGGTAAGATCAGAAAACCCACACATTTCTACAAACCACTGCACTATGTAGAGAGGCCCCCTGAAATGAGCTTGGTGCTGGATCAGGCTGTGCTGATGGTGAATTACAACAAATCAAGGCCCCTGAAATCTCACCTTTTCTCCCAGCTGTGCGCTGAGATGGGAGCCTATCCCAAAGGCTGATCCAGAGGTACGTTGGTTGTCAAGGAGGAAAGTCCTTTCCTCTCTTTATGAGCTTCAGGAAGAGCTTTTGGAACTTTCAAGATAAAGCATGGTCTCACATAAGGACAGGCTCGCAGATTAGAGATGGTGCGGCAGGCTGGCTTAACTTGCAGACATAGTTGTGTCATGATCTTGGCACTAAGGACTGGATTATTGGTTCATTTCTTCCACCTACCTATCTCTGGCCAGTTTTAATTCTCCCTCATCAGATCCATCTATTCTAGTTCCTATTTAAACTGCTTGTCTCCAGCCATCAGTGCCAGATTATTTGAGCCATGTGTGAGAGTTCTCTAGCATACCCAGTGTGTTTCTTATTACCTGATCCTGACTAGTTTCTGCCCGTGGACTTCTGAGTTTTGCTTGCCCCTGTTCTGATCTGTTTTGCCTGACCTGTCTTCCTACTGCTATTTGGATTCTGCCTGCTAACAAACTTGTCTATCTCCTTAGCCCGGCTTGGATTTCCCTTTGGTACCTCTTTGTATCTCTGATCTTCTGTCCTGGAAATCTGCTCCTGCATCGACACTGACTTTGGATTTTCTCTCCAGACACTGCTGCTCTTCCATGTCTGCTGGCTTGGACTGAACTTAAAAACCAGGTTAGTGAATGACATGCTCGCTATTGTTCCGCTTCAGAGTTTTGTAGTCACTAGCCTGAGTTTCTACCTCTACAGAGATTCCAGTCATCTGGTCCCAATCAATGAGCTGCAGATTTCTAAGCAGTAAAAAATGCTTAGTTTGAAATCACTCTGACCTGTCTGCCTGAATTCCGGGTCCTACACTCCGGGTCCTGAATATCTGGGCATCTCAAGGAGTTAAACGCCAAGCTTTGGGGTAGGAATGAAAACATTTCATCATCCACAGACAAGATTCGGTGGTTATGGGCAAACTGACCCTGTAGTGTGAGGCTTTGAAGCAGAGCTCATGGATATAACATCTTTAGACATTAAAAGAGAGGTTTGAGCACTATTTTCCACATGTGGCTGATGATTTCCTCACTACCTAGCTGTGTGAACTTGCATTCTCCACCCTTTTTGACATGAACTCGTGGATTGCAGCCAGCAGAAGGTCCTCCTGATTAATGAAGGGGAAACTAAGGAGCTGGTGGTGGACTTTGGAGAAGCAGGTCCACCCCACTGGCACCGGTGAACACAAGGGAACAGACATTAGCTACGTTTACATGGACACAACTAATCGGATTGAAGGCCTGATCAGATCAAAAATGTTTCATGTAAACATGTCAGACTGAAGATTCTAATCCGATTCGCCATTCCGATTGGCGTCCATGTAAACACCCATTCGGATCTTAAGAGTAAAATAATCTTCACTGCGCATGTGTGCGACGTCAGCGTGAAGTTTTTCCGCCTTGTCAACTACAGGAAACCACCGGTCGCTCTCGCTCTTGTTGTGAACAATATGGCGGGAGGAGTCTAGGAACACCGACTTATACACTCAAGTTCATTTAAAGCTGCAGGAAGCAGGAATTTATCCTCCTCCTCTTCCTCTTTTCTCTCTCCACAGCCCACTCGCTCTCCCACGCCGGTTCAATCGCTCATTCTCTACATTTTCTCTCGGACATTTCGCTGCCAAGCGCTTTTTTCCTCCTCTCTCCTTTTTTCTTTCCGCTCGCTCCGAGCGCATCGTTTGTCAGGCCTCCCAAAAACCAGACGCAGACAGAACTGCCAAGTTTGGCAGGAATTTCTGCGCATGCTTAAAGGATTTAATCTGATCCAACGCTTGGTACATGTATACACACGTCATGATCGGATCATTTCATTTAGTGTCCATGTAAACGGAGATTTTGAATTTCCGATAAGGTTTGGATCGGATCGGGGAAATTTTGCGCATGTAAACGTAGCTAATGAGATAATGGACTTATAAGTACCTGGGTATTCAGCTGAACAACATACTCACAACACTTAGGCTTTCTACAAGAAGGGTGAGAGGAGACTGTTCCTGCTGAGGAGACTGAGGTCTTTCGGAATGCATGGGGCGCTCCTAAAGACCTTCTTTGACTCTGTTGCGGCATCAGCCATCTTCTATGGAGCTGTGTGTTGGAGCAGTGGCCTATCTGTAGCTGAGAAAAGCTGCTGGATAAGCTGAACAGGAAGGCCAGCTCTGGGATTGGATGCCCTCTGGACTCGGTGCTGGAAGTGGGAAACAAAAGGACCCTAACTAAACATCTCTGTTGGATAATGTCTCCCTGCCCATGCATGAAGCTGTTGCTGAACTGGAAAGCTTCTTCGGTGACAGACTGCTTCACCCTAAATGCACCAGATCCTTCCTCACAGCAGCTGTAAGACTGTTTAACCATCACTGTTCCAAACAACCTCAGTACGTTGCTACATTTACGCTGATTTTTGCACAGTTTCTATCTTAGTCACTTAAATAACATGCTGCTGTCATTGTGCACATCTCTGGTGTTGCTACTATTTCCAAAAAATAAAAATGGTCACAGCTGTATATTGGTCATTTTTTATCCAGATGTACTTTATATTTGTAAAAACACTGTAAAGTACGATATATATATATATATATTTTTAACTCTGTCACTTATTCTGTTATTTTTATACAGTTTTTAGGGTCCACATTTGTACTTTTGCTATAATTTTTTTTACTGCTGTAACACCACAAGTTCCCCATTGTTGGACAATAAAGGGATTTTCTGTTCTATTCTATGAAGAGCAAGACCAGATCGAGGCTCTCTGTTGAGCAGGACTTGCAAGAGGCTCTTAGCGCCACCAAGGATTTAAAAAATGTGTGTGCACCGACAGGCACATGTGTCCTACTAATTTGTTGTTTGTGGAATATTTACAAAACCACATGAAAGGCTGATTCTAAAAGTTAAAGTTATAATTTGTGGATCAGATTCAGGACCATGAACAGCGCAGCTTTTTCACTGATGGTTCCATTCTGAATGTCTGTTTCATTTATCTCACCTATTTGATCAAGTTTAGATGTTTCTGTGAAATATGTTGTTAAGAGATCTTTTATTAGTAATATAGCTGTCTTTTTCATATTTTGTTCGGCAGTAGTAAATAATTATGAACTTTACAGATGATATGAGTGATAACACATGTTTTAGGCTATATTGCACAACAGGTGTGCCTTGAAATTTGTATCTGTCCTTCGGTGTGCCTTGGGCACAAATTGGGAATCACTGAAATAGACAATTGTACGTGTTCTATCATAAAGATGCTTTCTGAATAAACTGCTAATAGTTTTAAAGGTTCATTACAGTTTAATGCATTCCTGAGTCATTGTTCATTTTTCACTGTAAATCCAAATGAAACTGCACTTTTTTAACTGCATTTAATATTTCTGTCAGGGCTTATCCACACTTTTCTGCTGCTATTTTTAAAGGACACATTAAATGCATTAAGTCTTAAAACTTCAACATTCCTCAGATACCCTTGAGCAGACTTTTAAATCCCTTTTCCCCCTTCAATTTATTTTATTTACTTGTACTTATTTTCAGTAGTGTTTAGTGTTTGGGTATTTATTAGATATAATAATACTGTGATAGGTTTTATTAAGGTACCATTGTATTTTAACCAGTGGCCTTTTGTGGTTATTTTATACATTGCATGGTTTATCACTCAGGCCAGATTCCCTCTTCTTTCAGTAAGATCTCAATGAACAGAGACAGATATCTCTCGATGGTGATTAATTAATAACTCTGCTGATAGCCATAGTCTAAATTAATAATTTGTTGAAAGCAACAAAAACAGCCGGTCCAGGAGTATAACCTTTTATGTAAAAGCTAAGAACCCTGGTGAAAAAAAAAAAATACAGTTCTAATCATTCAGCTAATACTCATTAATTGGTTTTAACCTCCCTTTGAATGGCCTATTAATTAAGTGCAACTTCCAATTCTAGTTATTTAATGTATTGATAATCTTCTCGTCAACTTGTCCAATGTACAGCACTTGTTTTGCAACTAAAATGTGCTGTATAAATAAACCTGCCCTGACTTGCTTTTACAAAGACAAAGACAGGTTAAACAAGAGGATGTTTCTTGCTCTAACTGATCTCTTTACAGCTCCTTTTCACCTCAGGGAGACAGATACAATTCAAGTTTCCTATCTTGGAAATAGAAAAAGGTAATGACTCAGTAGTAGAAGAGCCGTTGTTGTGTGGTGTGAAAGCAACCTGTCAGCTTTGACCCTCATCACACAGGGGGAGGGGACAAGGAAGTATTGGAAATTCAGTTTCAAGGGAGCATTTATAAAAAAACAAAAACAAAGTATAGAATAGTACTCATTGCTTTAACGTTCATAGTTTTTATTGTTTTAATATTTCACTGTTTCACTTAATCTAAGTCTAAGTGAAATGTCATCTTAATATGTTTTAAGACTCCAGTGACAACATGGTAAAAAACAGGCACAGTAATCCACATTTCTTGATAATTTCATTTCAACTCATTTATGTAAAGCCAATTTACAACATTTGTCATTACAAGGGGAAAAATAAATCTATTACTTCATACTGACAAATTTAAAGTAATACTGTATATACATATATATATATATATATATATATATATATATATATATATATATATATATATATATATATATATATCCCTGTTATACCTATTGAGGTCTACTGGTATTATGTAAATTCGCATTGGTGATAATTCTTTATTTGATGTTAATAATAATTTTCTTTTTGTGTGTCTTCTGGATATTAGAGTCATAGTTCCAGTTGTGTTTTTCAAATGTGTGAGATTGAAGAAAGGATTAAACTTTTTTCATACTGCAGTGCATCACAGGAAAACACAGAGAGACAAAGTATAAACAACCCCACACACAATCACATATTTTCCATTTTAAATCATTTATTTGCCCGGAAAAATAGTCTGTCCAGTCTGTTCACATATTTCTTTGCTCCTTACCATTAGCTAAACAAATGGGTGTAGACAAAATGTTAAAAGTTGACAGACAGCATTCTTCCTGCAGGGAAATAAAAGGCGTCATTGCTAAGTTTTTGTGTTAAAGAAACTGAGAGTTTCTCTCACTGCGAAGTGAAATGGCAGAACAAGCAGTTCAAGTGGACCAAAGAACCTTCTCCTGTTCAATCTGTCTGGACCTACTGAAGGATCCGGTGACGACCTCGTGTGGACACAGCTACTGTATGAACTGTATTAAAACGCACTGGGATCAAGAGGATTCAATAAGACTCTACAGCTGTCCTCAGTGCAGGAAAACCTTTACACCAAGGCCTGATTTGGAGAAAAACATCATGTTAGCATCTCTAGTAGAGCAACTGAGGAATACTGGACTCCAAGCTGCTCCTCCACATGGCTCTGATGATGTACTTGAAGATGTTTCCTGTGATTTCTGCCCTGGAGGAAATATAAAAGCCATCAAGTCCTGCTTAGTCTGTATGGCGTCTTACTGTGAGGAACACCTAGAGACTCATTATAATTTTTCTCTTGTAGAGTATCACATGCTGGTGGAGCCAATCAAGGACCTGCAGCAAAACACATTGTCTTCAGTAGAGGGAGCAGAGAGAGAGAGCTGGTTTGATGTCGGTCTGTATGATGAGTATGTTTTACTGTCTGAGCCAGAACCAAAAACAAGAGCAGACTTCTTGAGATATTCATGTGAAATCACGCTGGATCCAAACACAGCACATCCACAGCTGTTACTATCAGAGGGGAACAGGAAGGTGACATTTTCATATCAACAACAATGGCATCGCAGTCACCCAGACAGATTCACTGAATGGTTTCAAGTTCTGAGCAGAGAGAGTCTGACTGGACGTTGTTACTGGGAGGTAGAATGGAAAGGCAAGGGAGTTTCTGTAGCCGTCGCATACAAGGATATCAGCAGAGCAGAGGGGGGGAATGAATGTGGATTTGGATATAATGACAAATCTTGGGCAATGCTTTTTGACATAAACAGTAATTCATTTTGGTACAATAACACCAAAACTCCAATCACTGTTTCTAATTGTTCTAGAGTAGGAGTGTACCTGGATCACAGAGCAGGTGACCTGTTCTTCTATAACATCTCAGAAACCATGAGTCTCCTCCACAGAGTCCAGACCACGTTCACTCAGCCACTATATGCTGGAGTTAGAATGTATAACACTGCAATCTCTGCTGAATTCTGTCAACCCAGATAGTCCACTAAAAGCTTTGTGGCATTTTTTGGTTTAGCATGTTTGAATTATTTTTCTTTTGCTTTGTTTCTCTGGTCATCTGGCCTCTCAATGCAATTGATCAAAATGTCTCAAAGGGAAGACAGGGAAAGGGGGACCTGTCCTGGCCTGCTGGGACATACTTCGTGGGATACAACATGGACTCCTGGAAGGCTTGGAGGATGGTGTGTTTTACAATGCTGTCAGTGGAGGATATCGAAGATGTATGGATTTTCGGATTTGTGACACTCGGATTTCTCCTGTTTGGATTTGGAGGATACCTGATGTATCTACAATTATAGAGAATGTCGGCGGCAATTTGGGCATTGATCAGGCTGGCAGCAGCGGTTGACGAGCTGACAAAGCTGTGAATGAGAAAGATTGTGAGCTGAGTCGTATGCTGGGTGTGATTGAATGCAGGCTGGCTGCGGTGGTTGAACTCGAAGATGAGATGGGATAATATTTTGGATGTGCACGCTTGCTTCAAGGCAAAAAAGCCCAACTAATTTGGAATATTGGATTCGCCACGTAGAGCCAGCAACAAAACGCTGACGGACAAATCCTGTGCAGCCTGCTCTCAAAACAATAATTGTTATTCTGGATTCGGCCTCCCCCCTTATCAAAATCCCCACTGGATGTTATGAAGAAAGGGCACATAGGAACTGCTGCCCCCTACCCTACCCCCGAACATCTGTGGATGCACCCAGAACTGTAGTGCCGGTTGATGAATTTCCATCTCATCAAGGACAATGGCCTATGGACAGCTTTCATTGGACGCACTCATCATAAATACAGAACTAATGTCTCAAATGTCAAATTGACTTTCATGTGGCTCATGTGCCTCTGATGTGACCCTCTGCTGAAATGTCTGTCTCATGTTTATAAGTGTTTTCTTGTGCTGAGGTTTTTTTTTTTTTGATATCTCAAACTATATCCTGTCAAGGATAAAGTGTGAAATATGCCCCCCCCCCTCCCCAATGTGGCCCCTATCTTTCCACAGAATAAAAGGCAGCGCTATAGGGAACCTCCTATGGGTTAGGGCCCTTGGCAGCCATGAGGCAGCATTCTGCGGCGCACATGGTCTCAGTAAACTATTCCCCCTTTTTGCTTCTCTGAGAGTGCTGGAGCCTTTAAAATAAATCTGCAAAGACAAAGATCGATCGTTCTCTGTTTTACTGAGTGGTGGTCTCCCCTCTTTGATAAATAAAAATTCCACAACAATTCTTCCAACAGCGAACAGGATCTGACATGCCAGAATGACTCTGCAGTGCAGGTTAAGAATGTTTAGCCTGCTTAAAAACTCTTTCAATTCCCCTGCTTTGAAAAAAAGAGGAGTCATGGAGCCTTCCAGTGGTTTCTTTCCAACTGTATCCAAACTAATGGAGAGACACTACTTTGAACATTTTCACTTCACTTTAACCATCATCTCCTAGCTTTTGTTTTGTTTTTTAGAGTTGGTAGAGTGGGAGCATGACAGAGGAAGCCGCCAGTAAGAATGAAGAGGCGTACACAGTTCTAATTCAAGTGCTGGATGACAAAGTTTGTCCCTTGTCGTGAGAGACGCTGCTGATGATGGCAGGAAGGCGCTGCAGATCCTCTGTGACCATTAGGCAGGGAAGGGGAAGCCGCTGATAATTAGTTTATACACGGAGCTCACACCTCTCCAAAAAGGTGTGAATGAGAGCGTCACAGACTATACATCCATACAGAGACTGCTATTAAACTGCTGTGTAATGCAGGCGAGACTTTTAGTGGCGGCTTGTTGACTGCAATGATTTTAAAAGGTCTGTCTGATGCATATAAACCATTCTCTGTACATGTCACACAGAGTGATGAAAAGTTTACTTTTGTTGAGTTTAAAACCAAACTAAGGAGCTATGAGAGCACAGAAAAGTTTGGTGCTTCTGGTTCCGCAGAGGACAGTGTAATGAAAGTCGGAGGGAGAGACAACTGGAGCAAGCTGACCTCTTTCACCTGTGGTCAGAAGGGCAACAAAGCTGGTGACTGTGCGTCAGCTGCTGGAGAGTGCAGAGAGTCCAGGCAATGGTGCGGTTCCTGTAAGAGTGCCACGCACAAGGACGCACACTGTAAGCACAGTAGAGGTTGGCGGATCGATACTATCGATACCAACACTGGTATTGCTATTGAACAATATTCGTTTACAGTAACAAGTTCAATACTTTTTATTCTCTCTTGCACGCACTATCTGCAGCAGTAAGTCCATGCAGGATAATTTTTATTCTCTCCTGCATGCACTAACTGCTGCAGATTCACCAGTCTCCCCATCAGTATAATTACAGCACATTGCTGCTCCTCCCTCTCCTGTACTCACCGGCTCAGCACACAGGCTCAGCCTGGTCCACTTCACACACAAACTGCTCAGACGCTGGAGAAAGAGAGAGACCATCGGAGCAGAAAATACCATACATGAAAGCAAAGGCAAGCTGTATGATTTGTAAAAAGCTGGTTAAATGCAGTTTAAAAGCACACGAAAAACAATGAGCCAAAAACCAGTCAAACGTACACAACGTTATCACACCAGTGAATTCATATGAAAGCCAACAACAAAAAACTTTATAAAACCAAAACATAATTTCATGAACTGCTTTATATTGTGTACATAAATCTTGCCCTTCTGAGGCTTTGTGAAGGAAAATCTGTGTTTTTTATGGTCCAATATGATGTCACAAACCTAAAAAAAAAATGTACTAGTTTAATAATGGAGAATCTATTGGTCTATTTTTTTTTACGTATAAAAACTTTTTTTTTCTGACAATGTGTTTATTTATGAGCAACTATGCAGATTAACAAACAGTAGACTATATTCTACAATTTTTTTTATGTGAGTCCCAGATTGTTTATTCTTCTTCGCCTTTTCTACAAAGTGCTTTAAATCAGTCCTGGCTGTATTTTTCCATGCTGGGTCAGATCCTGATGCTTGAAAAAGGAGGCATGGAAAGCAGAATAAAGCTACATGCTGCTAGCCAAGCCTTCTTACTAAACAAGGTCCTGGAAAAGGACATTTCTTGCACTATTTCTTTCTCTTTCTCTCTCCAATGCATCTCCAGCCCCTACAACTCGACCTGTCAATCACCCGCAAAATGTCAGCGCTGTGGCGGGATGTGGTAAGCAAATACACTTCCTGTCAGCGCGGGGCGCAGCAGAGCTGCGACGCAGCTGTGAGAGATGAGCTGTGAAAGTGGAAAATTAATTAATTAAGAAATCAGTGCCCCAGGCACCGCAGATCCACAACGGGGCACGTGCCCCTGTGAAAAGGGTCTGCTGACGCCGATGGTGTAGGTTTAACCCTCTCCAGGCAGATGTTGCAGATTTGCAACAGCTAAATGCCACTTAGCTAATTACTCCACATCCATATTTTAAGAGCTTTTGTTACTCAGAAGTACAACAGAAGGACTTAGTTGTGCATTTGCAACAAACAGTTTCTCTCCAGCTCACCAGATAGCACTGCTGAGTCACTGTCAACATGGCTGAGGCCTTGGTGTCAATGAAACAGATTTTCTAAGCACCAATTTCATGTAAGTATCACTACCAATTTCCATTATTTTGAAATCCATACTACATAAGATGAATCATGAATGTGTACACTGCAAAAACAATCCAGAAATAAGTAAAAAATTGCTTAAATTAAGTATATTTAGCCTTAATTTGAGCAGGTAAATAAGATGATTTGCCAATGGAATGAGTATTTACACCCTTAAAATAAGATAGTTAGATAATATTTACTTGAAATAAGAAGATAAAATTGTTTTTTCTTATTTTAAAAGGAAATTGTCTTGTTCCATTGGCAAAGTGTCTTACTTACCTCCTCAAATCAAGGAAAAACGCACTTATTTTAAGAAAAAATAACTTATTGAGATTTCTTTTTTTTTGCAGTGTATAGATATGACACATGCCAATTAGTAGATTTGATCTCCTCTGGGTTTTTCACCAGAGGCAGCTCGATTTCAATGTTGTGGATTCTCAACATGTGCCCAAACAGGTACCAATGGATGCTACATGCTTTATCTATTAGTTTGCCTATATTTTGAGCAACAGTCGAATAGAATTGGCCTTCTAAAGAGGTTTTGAGATGTCGGTGGAGAAAAAGTTTTAAGAAAAGGTTGTCTCTAACTTTGTGAGAGAAAATGTTTGTTTTGTTAATTTTTTGTTTGTGACATTCAAATAAAGTTAACGTTCATATCAGTCAGATTCAGTCTTAAGTGTTAATTTACCACTCTGGGCCACTGTTGCAAATCTCCAGAATTCATTGCATGTGAAGGTCTCTCTCAAAAAAAGTCTGAATTGTATATTACTACCCTATATGATCATTTTCTCCAAATATCAGATTTTTCCTGCAACTACAACAAAATTTGAGCTTGAGAGGGTTAATAAACCAATTTGACAGTGATGATTTCCACATTTAAAGAAATGTGAAAATCATTATGATTACCATATACAGTATGGTGTTTAATAAGTTAACATTTAGTTGTGAGTTTTATTTTTTCTTTACTTTTTGTGTATTTGACTTATATCCTTAACAGTCTTCTGAACTGAATAACAAATGTTCTTTTTAAGTAAACGGTGGTAAATACAAGTTTCTACGTCTTTCTGCTAATTTTCATTCATTATTTATTTTTGTTGCAGGAGTTATTTACATATACTATTGACTGAATTAAATTAAAAAAAAAATTAAGTAAAAAAAACTTTCAAAGTCTAAAAAAATGGATTTCCCTTAATAAATAACAAGAAGTAAAATTAGGCTATTTTAAACTAATATTAAAAAACAAAGTGAGTCCTCAACGCGGGCGATCGGGTTCGAATCTGGCCTGTGGTCTTTTCCCTCGTCTCTTCCCTTCTGTCATACCCCCTTTCCTGTCAGCCTACTGTCCATAAAAACGAGCCACTAGTGCCGTATAAAAAAAAAAATTCAACCTAATAAAAATAACCACAGAAAATTTAATTTGATATATATATATTATAAAAAACACCAAAACTGTTCTCACACAAGATCAGCAAACGGTATAGCT